GACGGAGTCGTATCAGGATAAACATCCTAAAGTTACTGCTATCTGAAAAATAGCATCCCTCTGGCTTACCAGAGAAGATCTTTTTTTTTTTTTTTTTTTCTGATCAGTACTCGTTACTTACAGTTTTGAGCCAGTTGAGACTCAAATTTGTATAGAAAGGCAGATTTTCCTAATAAGAACATCAAAAAAATCATAATCCTAATATGTAATAATGTGTGATATTTTGCTGCTACCCTGGGTCAGAAGCGAAGCACACCTAGTTCAACATCTTGCCTTTGCCAATGGCCCATAGAAGTTGCTTCCAGGGAGTGTAAAAGACAAGTCATGGCCTTTCCCCATTACACTTGTCCTGCTTCCAGGATATAACTCTGTTTTGCCCAGGGCTTCTCTGCTATTGTTGAACAACACTGGAGCCCGTACTGACCCCTGGGAATGCCACTGGCCACAGGACTCCAACTAGACTCAGTCCCATTTATCACAACCTTCTGAGCTCTTCCATCCAGCCACTCCTCAGTCCACCCCAAAGGCCACTCATGTAACCCACCCTTCCTGAGCTTCCCCATGAGGATGTTATGGGAGACGGTGTTGAAAGCCTTGCTGAAGTCCAGGGAGACCACAGCCACTTCTCTCCCCTCACCTACCCAGGCTGTCATCCCATAGAAGGCCATCAGATTGCTTAAGCATTATTTCCCCTTAGTGAACACGTGATGACTACTCCTAATCACCTTCTTTTTCTCCACATGCTTAGCGATGACATCCAAGATGAGCTACTCCATCACCTTTCCAGTGACGGAGGTGAAGCTGAGAGGACTGCAGTTTCCTGGGTCCTCCTGGGTCTTGACCTTTTTGATGACTGGAGTGACACTGGCTGTCTTCCAGTCTTCAGATACCTCTGCTGTTCTCCATGACCCTCCAAAGTTGATGGAGAGTGGCTTAGCAATAACATCCATCTGCTCCTGCAGCACTTTTGGATACATCTAATCATGGCAAAAGATGTGTGGATCTCCCGTAGTCCTTCCAGGTGACTGTCCCCTTTCCACATTCTCTATACTTCCTTCTTTTGTTTTGAGTTTTGCCAGGAACTCCTTGCTCATCCATGGAGGTCTCCTGCTTTCTTTGCCTCACTTTTTATGCATAGGGATGCACCAATCTCGAGCTTGGAGAAAGAGATGTTTGAATATTAACCTGCTCTCCTGAATTACCCCACCTTCCTTTTAGTGCCTCACCCATGGGATTCCTTCAAGTAGATCCTGGAAGAAGTCAAAAGCTTGTGCTCCAGGGTTGTGATTCTACTTGTTACAATGCTTCCCCCTCACTGGATCCTGAAGCAAGCCATGATCACTGCAATCAAGGCTACCCCCGGCTTTCATATTTTCAAACAGGCCTTCTTTATTTTTTAGTATGA